ACCTCACACAATGTCCAGTGACGTCCACATTCCTGTTGTGCCCATTCAGACCTGCCCAGGAAATGATGCACCCTCTGCCAGCTCAGCCTTGAGTGTTTTATTTTTGTACAAAACATAATGGTGAGATTAATTTAGCTTTGACTTGCTGTGAATGCCCGAGAGGTCAAGCTGGCTCCTGGCTGGTGGATGGGGCAGTGAGTTTCCCACCTCTCATTCTTCCCCTTTTCCTGTCCACTTTGTTCGGTTTCCATCAGGGCCCCGCAGCCACATACCATTGCTCTGTCTTTTTGTCTAGGACACTTCTGGGTGGGGGACCCTGTCCCAGGAGAGGGAGCTGGGATAGCTTTTCTTTTTCTTTTGACATTTTCACCTTTGCCCCTTGATAAAGGGAGACTCTGGTTTAAAGCAACACAATGAGAAAGACCCACCCTCCTTAAGGCCCGAGGCATTGTCTGAGCACTTATTGTATGCTAGCTATGGGCCAAGGGCTGTTAATGCTTTGCCTCTTTATTTTCTTGTTGCTGTGGAGTTGGCCCCCAACTCATGGCAACCCCATGTACAACCGAATGGACCATTTTGATCCTTAGGATTGTCATTGATTGGTTTATAGAAGTAGCCTGTCAGGTTTTTATTCCTAGTCCATCTTACTCTGGGAGTTCTGCTGAAAACTGTTCAGTGTCGTAGCAACACACGAAATGCCACTGACAGACAGGCGGTTGTGGTGCATGAGGTACTTTGTTGTTGTTAAGTGCCTTCGAGTTGGTTCTGACTCATCTCGGCCCTGTACATGGTTACCAAGGAGTGGCTAGTGGGTTTGAACCACCGATCTGGCAGTTCAACCCAGCCTTGAGGTTGAGTGCTTATCCTATGGTGCCACACCAGGACTCCATGAGGTGCTTTGACCCGAATCAAACCTAGGTCTCCTGCGTGGGAGGCAAGGATTGTACCACCACTGCCCTTCCTGGTCTCTTTGTTGTTGGTGGTGGTGGTTGTCATCAAGTTGAGTCTGATTTGTAGCAGCCCCCCATGTTTCCAAGTAGAAATGCTCCTTAGGACTTTGAAACTGTGACCTTTTGGAAGTAGCTCTCTAGTCTTGTATTTGAAGGAGCCTTTGGGTGGGTTCAAACCGCCAACCTTTTGGCTTGTAGTTGAATGCTTAACCGTTTGTGCCCTTCAGGGGCTAGGTTAGGAAGATTAACTGCTCCACTTCATACAGGAGCCGGTCAGTTCTGAAAGGCCCAGTGTTATGCATTACACCAAAGCAGAGAACAAAGCTCAGGCTACCGCAGGACAGAGCCTTGTTCTTAACTCTGAATCCTGTCACTCTTGTTGTTAAGTCCTGTGGAGTCAGTTCCAACTCATAGTGACCCTGTGTAGGGTTTCCTAGGAGCAGCTGGTGGGTTTGAGCCAGTTCGCAGTCCAGTGCTGATCCTACAGTGCCACATCAGGACCCAAGTTACAATTAATTACTAGATTTCATCTTTTATTCTGATAACTGGGTGCGTGGAAACTGCAAGGAATGCAAGGGCACTGACCCCAGACAGATTCAGATGCCATCTTCCACCTTCTTGTCTCCCCTCATGCCAGTCCCCACAGCTAAGTGTCTAGGTCTTACATGGGGGCATGCAAATCCGACCCACTGCCTATTTTTGCAAATAAAGTTTTATTGATACAAAGCCATACTCTTTCAGTTATGTATCGTGTATTGTGTTGTTTTCAAAGCCAAAACAATCAAGTTGAGTAATTGAGTGCTGACTATCTGGCTTTTCTACAGAAGATGTCTACTGACCCTTGGCTTAAGTCACTGGTGAATAATCTAACTTAGAAAGCAAATAAACTCTTGAGAAGCAAAATGATATTGTGACCCAAAGTGCTAATAATAATTCCCTATTAATTGTCATGTTGGAGATCGTATTGAGCTCAGCAGACGTTAGCTTGAAGCTCTGGAATGATGTCCTTTTAGATCAGACCCTTGTCTACCATTTGTTTCTCAGCAGAACCATCAGTTGGCTCATCTGCTTAAAAGGTGAGCTATTGCTGCTTCAAAGAGCTTTCTGCACACAGAAACCTTTATGTGTTTCAGCTTCCTTTGCAGGTTTCCTGCAAGGAGGAAAATGTTGGGGAGAGAGAGAGATCTCTTACTGGAAGGAGGATAATCCACCACTGTCAAGCTGATTCTGGCTCCTAGCAACTCTATAGGTCGGAGTGGAATGGTTCCACAGGGTTTCTGAGACTAAATCTTAGGTGAGCAGGCAGCCTCACCTTCCATGGAGTGACTGGAGGTTTGAACATCCAACCTTACGGTTCATAGTCCAGTGTTTAACCCATTGCGCCACAGGGACCCTTATAAGACAGTAAGTGTATTTCTGATTTTGGGGAGAGTATGGGCTGCAAAGGATTGAGCATATATCTTAACGACACCATCCCCTGACTCCTGTATTTCCTCTCATCACATTTCAGGGATTCAGTCTTCCTCACCCTGACATCTCCCAGTTCTAGATCCATCTAGATCAATATAGATCTATCTAGATCTACTTATTCTTCTGAGAAAAGTAGGGTCCAGGAGATGAAGGGGGGCCTGGTGTGGCATTGTGGGTTAATGCACTGGACTGCAAAGTCGGTTTGAACTGCAAGGTCAGCAGTTCAAGCACACCAGCCTCTCCTTGGAAAACCTATACAGAGTCGCTATGGGTCAGAACCAACTTGACAGCACTAAACATAACAGCAACAGGAGATGAAGAACTGTAGAATGTCTGAACACAGTAAGAATTGCCGTTCATTGACCACGAAATAGTCTTCTCTTTACAGTTAACATCTTAGAAAGACAGAGCTGAGGGGTCTGTTCCCAAGTCTGAAGCATTTGGAAGCGGGTTTGAGGGATGGTCCGGTGGGTTAGAATGGACTAAGGAGCCTTTTTCATGCTTCTAATCCTGTAGGCTGTGCAACCTAGGGATATCGGAGTAATCTCTCTCAGTCTTGACTTCTCACGGAAAGTGGGCTCCAAATCCCGCCTTCCATACCTGTAGGGTCTGTGGTGTGGTCAATTAGGCCATGGGTGTGAAAAATGCTTTGTGAGCTGACAAGTACTTCTGAGGAACCCACTCTGAGTGTACTTTCCTGCTTGGAGACTCAGGACTGTAGATCACAGCCTGGCAGGTCCAAGAGAGATTTTTCCATGGGGTTTGCCTCATGACCAGTAATGGAAAGAACATGAGGTTTGGAGTCTTCACTCAGACCTGAGTTTGGATTCAGCTCCCCCACTCATGAGCTGCACAACCTTTCTGAGCCAGTTTCCTCACTGGGACATTGGAAGTGGTAGAAGTGTGTCAGTTTGGGTCCTCTTAGAAGCAGACACCAATATGGCATTAGACATGGCAGAGAGTCCTTGGAAGGGAGACCTAAGAAGGGAGATGAGGTGAGGGAACTGGAGCAGGCAGGGAAGTCATCAGGGGGCAGTGCAGGTCTGACACCCAAGAAACGAGAGAGGGCTTCATCAGACTGTGGGGTAGCCCTGGGAAAGTTTGCCCTTTAGAGCAAGTTGCATAAGAAACTACTCCACATCCCAGTGGCTTCAAACAACGATTTTATTCTATCTCATGGTCCAGGTATGGCATTATACGATAAGCACTCAGTTTCAAGGTCTGTGTGACCTGCAAGGTCTGTAGTTCGAATTCACCAGTCGCTCCTCAGAATCCCTATACAGGGTCACTCTGAATTGGAACCATCTCAGAGGCACTTAACAGCAACATGGTTTTGTGGGGCAGGGCTTAGCTAGATGAGTCATCTTCTCCATGTGGTGTCGATTAATGTCACCCAGTGGTATTCAGCAGGTGGTTGGTCTGATCTAGAACAACCAAAATGGCTTTGCTTATATTGGGGTGCCTTAGTGGGGGAGACTGGAAGGCTTGGCTCAACTGCTCCCTTCTGTAGTTCATCTTGTTGTTGTTGTTGTTAAGTACCGTGGAGTCGGTTCCAACTCATAGCGACCCTGTACAGGGTTTCCGAGGCTGTAAATCTTTACAGGAGCAGAAAGTCTCATCTTTCTTCCTTGGAACGGCTAATAGTTTCATACTGCTGACCTTGAGGTTAGCAGCCCGAGTCGTAACCACTATGCTACCAGAGCGCCTTGTAGGTCATCTTAGGACCTCTCTGTGTGGTCTTTCCAGTAGGATAGTCTGACTTCTTAGATGATGGATCAGAGATCAGGAGTGAGTACTCCAATAAGCAGATGCTGCCAGTGAAACAGTCACAAGTCTACTCAGATTTAAGGGGAGGGGACATAGAGCCATTTCTTAGTGGGAAGAGTATCAAAGAATGTGTGGCTATCTTTAATACACCAGAGTGTCTAGCTCCTAGAGTTGTGGAATGCTATAATGCTTAGAAAACTTCTCTTGTGATGGTGGATAAATAGAAGCTACCATTGTTATTATGATGTTGGAGGAGAATATTGAAAGGGCCAAGGGCTGCCAAAAGAACCAACAGATCCACTTTGGAAGAAGTGCAGCCAGAGTGCTCCTTGGAGGCCAAGATGGCCAAACTTCGTCTCTTATACTTTGAACATATTGTCAAGAGGGACCAGTCACTAGAGAAGGATATCATATTTGGTAAGGTGGAGGGTCAGAGAAAAAGAGGAAGACCCCAACGAGATGGATTGGCCAAGTGGCAGCATCGATGGACTCAAGCATGGCAACAGTAGTGAGGCTGGCCCAGGACAGGGTAGTGTTTCGTTCTACTGTACATAAGGTTGCTATGGGTAGGTACCAACTCGATTGCACTTAACAACAACAACATTGTTAATATTTTTGTCATTGTCATTATTATTATAGCTACTACTGCTACCTTTGCACTTCCTACAGATTTGCTCTGTGTGCCGAGGATACCAGAGTATGGGGAGGCTTTTTCTCATCCTCTCCACACTGGGTTTCCTGCCTTCTCTTGTCATCATCACCTCTCCTCCCACCCTGAAGGCACAAGACTGCCCAATCTTCATCTTTCCCCAGGTGTGGTGGACCTCAGTTTCGAGGCTGAGAGTCCTCTGGCGCCCCCTGCTGAGCTCCTGGAGGGACTGTCCAGCTATGATTGGCTTCTTCAAGGAGGAAGTAAGTCCTCAGGATCTTGTTTCCTTCAGTCTCTTTCTGGATTCCTGTTGGTTGGTGGGGAGGTCTCTGGAACTGGCTGGTGCTTGAATAACCCCCTTTCCCTTGGAGGCCACCCTAGGAAGACCCTTGTGGCTTTAGGCTGTCCTTGTCTTGGTTGGGTGGTGTATTTGTTTCCTAGGACTACCTTGACCAAGTACCGCAGACTGAGTAGCTGTTTCACATTCCTGAAATCAAGATGCAGGCAAAGTTGATTGCTTCTAGAGGCTCTGAGAAAGTCTGTCTTACGCATCTCTTACTGGTTTGGGGGATGGCTGGTGATTCTTTAGATGAAGCACTCTAATACTTTTGTCACATGGCTGTCTTCCCTCTTTCTTTGTCCTGATCCAATCAGGACACTTCTCACATTGGATCAGGACTGCTCTGCTTGCATACAGTTAAGAGCTCAACTGCTAACCTAAAGGTTGATGATTCAAAACCACCCAGAGGTACTATGAAAGAAAGGCCTGTTAATTTACTTTGGACAGGTCACAGCCATGGAAACCTGTGGTTTATACTACGCTGCACACATGGGGTTACCAGCAGTTGGAATCGATGAGATGGCAACACAGTGAATGCTACTATGACCTCCTGTTCGCTTAAACAATAATGTTTTCATCGACCATGATCTCAAACATTCACCAGTGCATGGCTTTAACATCTTTTTGGACGACACACAAACAGGGAGTAAAGGGGATGGGACACACGTCTTGAAACTATGCCCAGTCCATGACCAAGTTCATTGAAGACGACCAGCATCTTTCAGGGCTGTGGTGGCCCTGACTTCTCTCCTGTTTTCCAGGACAGCAGATATTTTTCCCACCTTTGGAGGCCCCAGGGAGATCCCAGGAACAAAGACCCTGGTCCTCAGTCCTGGAACATGGGTGAGTTGCAAAGTTTGCTCCAATGCCCCTGCATTTTCTACACATCAACATTGCTCCCTAGCAGTGACCGTGGGGACCTGTCAGGGGCTCTCAACGCTGATAGTGTACCAATATCCCTTGGGGTATCGTCTGCATCCCAGATCTCCTGGATCAGGATCTCTGGAGCCTGGCAATCTGCATTTTACTAAGCTCTTCAGGTCTTGGAAACCAAGTCAGAGTTGAAAACCATGATCCTGAGCCAGAGTTCCAAACTACAGTCCATGGGTCAAATCCTGCCTACCACTTACTATTATTTATTTCAAATAAAGTTCTGTAGAGCACAGCACAGTCATTGGATTACGTATGAAAGGACTTCAAAATGTTTGTGGAGAAGTACCATTATTTCCAAATTCCATCTTTCCATGAACTTATTGAAGCCCCCTCATATTTTATGATCTAATAATTCAGAGTTGAGGAGTTTCAACAAAGTCTGTGTGGCCCACAAAGTCTAAAATATTTACTCTCTGGCCCTTTATAGAAAAAAGCTTGTCAGTGGCTACTTTAGATCCCTGGAGAGGTCTACACCCTACTTGCTGTGTGAGGACTTGGAGCAGAGCCCGGGGTTTCTAGCCAGCCTTGTGCAGAAAGAAGATGGCATTGCCCCCTTTACTGGCACTGCCCCAGATGGGCGGCCTTGGCCTGCTTAGAGGAGTCTCCCGTGCTCCTTCCTCTCTCTGCATTCACCATGCCCCCTTTTCCTTCCCGCTGCCTCCCACACCCAGCGCAAACCCAGCATCTTCCTGGAATCTTCTAACAGTCCAGCCCATAGCTTGTTCTCTGCCTACGCAGTGCACCTCTGTGCTGGACCAGGCTGGTCTGCAGACACAGGGCGCAGGAGAGGGACTGGAAGTTCAGTGCTGGGTCACGGAGTCATCTTTGAAGCTGCAGGGGAGAAGGAGGAGTATGGGATTCCTTCTCAGTGTTGGTGTTGGCGCCTTGGAAGCTGGGCACCAGTGAAGTTTTCCTGGAGGAGGGGAAGGTGTGCAGAGCAGGCACAGAAAGTGCCCTTTTGCCACCTCCACTCACTGGCACACGCTTTCCACACAGGCTCACGGTGAGCCTCTGGCTGCTGCTAGCTGGTGTTGGGCTCAAGTCTCACACCAATGGTCTTTCCAACCATGCCATCAGAGGTCAACTTCCCCCATCTAGCCTACCTCAGCCTTCATATACCTGTGGGGTATCCTCTCTGGACCTCAGTTTCCTTCATCAGCAAAATGGCCCAATTCATCTCTAAGTTTTACCCTTTTTGAGTTCTGAGAGTCTATCAGCCCTTCTCGGGAGCTCCAGCTTTCAGATAAAGTGGTTTTATATAATTCTCTTGAAATAACATGACTCTGTTCACACTGTTCCCTTTGCTGGACATGCCCTGCTCCACTTGTACTCCTGGGTGTTTTACTACCACTGGGGACCATAGATGGAACCTCTGGGGTACCCACAGTTAGGAGCTCAGTTACTCACCAAAAGAGGTTGGATGTTTGAATCCATCCAGAAGTGCCTCAGAAGGCCTGATGAGCAATTTACCCAAAATCACCCATTGGAAAACCCATTGGAGCACAGTCCTACCCTGGGTATATGGGGTCACTGCACATTGGCATGGACTTGACAGCAACTGGGGTTTGCTTTTGTCTGTGTGTGTGCGCCCCTGTGTCTAACCTGCTCTGGCATAACTCAAATGTCAGGGTTCTTTCTTTCTCTGGGCCTCAGTTTCCTGTCTGCACGATGAAGGGACTGGCCTGGATGAACCCACAACCCAGATGCCCTGCTTTCCAACAGGGTCCCCATGGTGACAGAGGAGGTGGCCCGTGAAGCCCTCTTCAGCTTCGTGGATTCCAAATGCTGCTATGGTAGCACAGCTGTTGGTGACCTTACCATCCAAGAGCTGAAGCAGCAGACAGTCTGCAGGGTCAGTGGCTGGGCCTGGCCTAGGGGTTGCAAGAGGGGCAGAGGGCCTGGGGAGGTTCTGGCTTTGGGACAGAAGAAACTGGTTTGTGTGACGTCAGGAAAGAGGAGTCGTGGGAGCCAGTGTGTGTGAATGGTGCTGACATGGATGTCCCTTCTGCTCCTGCTCTGGTCTCTAGCTGTGAGCAATAATCAAAATATTATTTATTATTGATCATCTATTGAGATGCTCAGGCGAACTGAACAGCACAGCATGCTTGTTACATTTGTTGTTGTTGTTAAGGACCATCGAGTCAGTTCCAACTCATAGTGACCCTGTATAAGGTTTCCAAAGAGCGGCTGATGGGCTTGAACCACAGATCTGGCAGTTAGTTGTCCAGTGCTTATCCTACAGCCCCCAAGACTCTTCAAGACCCCAAGAACAATGGAGTGAAATGCTGCCCATGATCAGTTACAGGTTGACCTGCTGTGAGCCACAGGTTTTTAACTGGTTGGTTTTCAGAAGTGGATCACCAGGCCTTCCTTCCTAATCCATCTTAGTCTGGAAGTTCCTCTGAAGTCTCCAGTCACAGATGGGTGGTGAAGGTACCTGAGGTGTATTGGATGGAATTGAACCTGGGTCTCCCTGATGGAAGGCAAAGCTTCTATCACTTAGCCACCATCGGTATTACTGTCACCAGTTTCTAGAGGAGAGATTAGAAGTTTAGAGAGGAGAAGTGACTTGTCCAAGAATATGAAGCCACATGCCACAGCTATGAGAGAACTATCTCTCCCCAGTAACCACTCTCTGCTTTCCCAGTTCCCTCTTCCTCCCCTAACCACTCCTGTACCAAGCATTCACATATTCTTTATCACCTTCCCCCAGGGAAGTTCTATGTCTGTCAGACACCCAGACTAAAACCAGCACGTCTATGACCTTCTGCCAGCAGAAGGGTAGAAGGGCAGCCCTTATGGTCAATGACACATCTGTCCTCCAATGAGAACACATCATCTGAAATCAGACCCACCTCTTGAGTAGTGGTTGGAGCAGGCATGTGCTGTGTGGCCTTGGGTAAGTCAGTTGACCTCTCTGAATCATAATTTCCTCACCTGTAAGATGAGGAAATAAAGTGACTTAGTTGCCTAGTTGTGTTGTAATGCAAATGGGTGACTTTAAAGAACAGAAATTTATTTTCTCAGTTCTAGAGATTGAAGTCCAAAGCCCAGTCTTTGCCGTTGTCAATTCCTTCCTTGTAGTTAGTCCCCGGTGTTCCTGTGCTCCTTGGCTTATAGGTGATCCTCACAGGTGTCCTCTGTGGATAATGTGTTCTTTTTTAAACTCAGAAGTGATTAAATGTAGAATCCACCTTATTCAGGTATGACCTAGTTAACATTAAAAAAAAATGACGATTTCCCAATAGGATCAAATTTCCAGGTAAAAAGATTAGAATTCTAACACATACTGTTGTTGTTGTTGTTGTTAAGTGCTGTCAAGTCAGTTCATACTCATAGCAACCCTATATAGAGTTTTCAAGGGACAGTTAGTGAGTTTGAATCGCTGACCTTAGCAGTCTAGTGCTTATCCTACAGGACCGCATAATTTAGGGGGAAACAATTTAATTCACAATACAAGGATTGTTCCAGGCCCCTTCCCTTTCTGTGATTCTCTGGATAAAGATCTATAAGAAAGACCTCGATGGCAGGTTGAACAGTCCCTCCAAACTGGGGAACTTGGAGCCAAGGAGTCCAGTGGCCACCATTGTCAAAGGGCAAACTCTGCATATAAAGAAATGGGGAATTGGAATCACTCCAGCTGTGAGCCTCTAGGGGGAGGTTTCCTGCTGCCAAGGGCCCAGGGCCCTAGCGGCTCACACAGGAATCCTGCTGACAGCCTGCTCCAAGCTGCCCAATTGTTCAGTGTGCGTGACCTTTCCAGCTGTGTGAGCCCTGGCAGGTGGGACACTTCATCTTGGTGCTTGACTCTGTCTTCATAAAGGGCATGAGTGTGAACATGTTGTTTTTCCTTCTATAGTATCGACTGGAGACCTTTAGCGAATCCAGGATAAGTGAGTGGACATTTGCACCCTTTACTAGTAAGTGAACTGTCTGCAGTCTGTTTAATTGGGAGCAAATATGGTGGGGCTGGTGGAAAATGCAAGAGCTTGGCCCAGCCACTTACTTTGAATAAGATGTTCTTCTCATAGCCTCAGTTTCCCCATTCCCTGTAAAATGTGAGCATGGGCTGATCTTAGCAAATGCTTCCTGCCTAGGAGGTGGTTTGCAGAAGGTTTGAACAAGTCCAGCATTTGCCTTTGACCAGACTGGTGCTGTCACATGGGGTCACATGACAAAGGCAGCATGTTTGCTTTACATCTGCCTGCCTCCCATGCCACCCAGCCCCCTCAGTCTATAGACCCTGGGATCCCATTCAGTGTACCATGCCACCTTCAGCTGAACCCCATGAGGGGTGTTAGCAGCAGAGGTTTCAGATCTGGAAAGCCCTTTTCCATACCTGTTTCCTCAATGGACCACTCAGGGTCATGTTTCCACACTCAGCTTATGTGTCGCCTCTTCCAGGAAGGCTTCCAGGACTGCATCTCTTGCCACCCCTTCCTAAGAAGAATCAGTCTTACAGGCTTTCAGAGCCCTTTATGTATCTCTTATTGATGATGTGTACCCCATCTATTGCATGGTATTGTGTCTGTCTCCTCAGTCAGAAGAAAGGATGAGAAAGAGGAAGAACGACAATGGGGATGACGCTTAGTAATGGACCCCTTGCTTTGTGCCAGCCCCTGGACTAAGATTTAAAATCCATAGTTCTATTTAATCTCATTACCACCTGGGGGAACAAACAATTATGCACACAACTCTTAACTGAAGGGTCGATGGTGCAAATCCACCCAGAGTTGCCTTGAAAGAAAAATCTGGTGGCAAACCCTTTGGAGTAGAGTTCTAGTCTACAAGACCCAAGGCCACCATGAGTGGGGGTTGCCTAGAAGGCAATTGGCTTTGGGTTTTGGGGTTTACCACTTTATATGGTGGGAGCTCTGTGGCTCTGTAGGATAAGCACTGGACTGCCAACCACTCCATGGAGAAAGATGAGATTTTCTGCTCCCGCAAAGATTTACAGCCTTAGAAACCCTATTTAGGGTCAGTATGAGTTGGAACTATAACTCTAAGGCACTTAAAAACAATGACAACTGTATATGGTAGGTACTACCATTATCTCTGGGAGTCCTGGTGTGGCGCTGTGGGCTAATGCATCAAACTTCAAAGTCGTTTGAACTGCAAGGTCGGTGGTTCAAGTTCACCAGCTGTTCATTGGAAACCCTATACAGGGTTGCTATGTGTCAGAATCAACTTGACGGCACTTAACAACAACAACCATTATCTCCATTTTGGAGATGAAAGAACAGAAACTCAGAGGTTAAGTTACTTGATTGGAGTCACACAGCTAGGGAATGGAAAAGCCAGGAGTCAAACCCAGGTCTGTCTAACTGCAAAGCTTGGGTGCTTACCCTCAGACTCTAAGAAGAATTTTGGTTTCCCATCCTCTGAGCCCCAGCATCTAGCCCAGTGTCTGGCCCATCAAGTGAAGGCTCCATACTATTTGTTGCACTTATCCCTAATGCCCTTTGCTGCTCTTACCATGATCCCTTTCTGCATCAGACCATTCAGTAGATGGACCACAAAGAGGAGCATCTCCCAGGCTTTGGGACATCAAGGTACAGGTACCTCCGATGTTTCAGGAAGACACGAAGAAGTTCCAAGTTCCTCACTCTTCATTGGTGAAGGTAACCCAGCCGTCTGAGTGACCATTCGGAACACTGCCCTTCTCACTGAGCTCATGTTCCGGGTACCTCAGGTTTTCTCATACTTTCTCCTGGTTTGTCTTTTGTCATAAAAGAAGATTTAATGATCAGAAAGTGAATATTATAACAAATTGCACTATCTTATTTTTAGATAGATCTTTCATCTGTAACATGTTATAATTAGCATTTCTTTCTATTCTTTGCTCTTACAAATTCTTCACTGATTTTGTCACAATTAAACTTGGTCCTGTTTTAAAGAAAATCTAAATCCAGGCAGGTGGTTCATTCCATGAATGGCATGGAGAGGGAGGACTGGGCTGGGAGCCCAATTCAAAGAAACTCAAAGCATGGAATGTAGACTTATAAAACGTGCAAATTAGGGAATGAATTGGGTAGTCACATAGCATAAGGATTATTCCATTGACAAAATTGTCACCAGCTTTAAATGGGAAGCACTCATATTCTAGGCCCAGTGGAGTGTCTGACATTTTTTAATTTTTATTTTATTTTTGCTTGACAGTAAACAGCTGATGTGCTGAAGAAACAAAGTTGAAGCATTTTTGAGATTTTTTTTTTTTTCACAGAAGTCAGTAGGAAAGCAGAATTTGACTTCCCTCTAATTTTATAGAAAAATAATCACACTGATTATGTGGGAAACCTGGTGTATTACAAAAGCATGACTTTGATATTTGATATTTTTCTCTCATCTAATTATCTGCCTTGTTTTCACCTTAAAGCTTGATTCAAGAATGTAATTTTACTCTGAGTTTTCATAAAGTAATAATTTGAAAAGGGCTTTGAGAGGCCAAGAAACTATTCTTTTCCACTCTTGAGGGTGGAAAAGTTTTGATTCAGTGATTCTTTGAGAGTAACTAGCTCCCGGCCTTTCACAAAATGCTGTCCAATTTGACAGCTTCTATTCTGAAAGACCTCTTCAGTTCCCTAATGAGCAAACGAAGGCATCCCTCGCATTTTAGTCTGATATGACACTGTAGAGCGTGAGTTTTGAATGTATTTTCCCTTCTCAGCATTGTGCAGACTGTACTGGGGCTGGGAGGAAATGGGAACATCTCTTCTCCTAAGCTTGGCATTCAAGACCTTTTGAAATCCCAGCCAATGGGAGTGCCCATTCCTTGCCCGGTGCCATCTTAATCGCTGCACCTCATGAGGATGAGGGGTGATGGTGAAGTTCAGAACTGTTGGTTCTTGAAGAAACATCATCAAAGAAGACTTTCATTTCAGGAATGTCACAAATGCCATGGGCGTGGACGATACAAATGCAGCGGCTGCCACGGGGCAGGCATGGTGAGTCATACATGGGTCGTTGGTGAGTGAGAGGTGTTGCAGAGGGGAAGAAGAGACATAGGACTTTGAGCTTCCTTCATTACCAGGAGGACCTTAGGCAATCGTTCTCCCTTTCTGGGCTTCCATTTTTCCCATCTATAAAATGGGAATGTTGAATTGGGTGTTCTGTAATGAACTTTTCACTTTGATGATTTATGATTTTAATTCTTGTCTCCTTTTCTCATCTTTCTACAAATGTACAGTGAGTACCCACTTGGCTCTGTAAGAGGACTAAGACCTGGGCCCCTTCACACCAGGACTCCCCTGGAGGTGGGGGAGATTCATCAGTGACCGGCACTTGTAGGCAGGGAGATGAGTTTCCAGAAGTCCAAGTTTGGAGGGCTGTGAGAGAGAGAATGGACAGGGGCCATGAGTTTATTTCCTTGGGTTGGGGACACAAACGACCAGAAAGTAGGAGGCTTAAAACAGAAATCTATTTACTCTCAGCTCTGAACTCAAAGGGTTGCAAGGCTGGCTCGTTCTGGAGACACTGAGTGAGAAAGTGTCCCTTGTCTCCTCCTAAATTCCGGTGGCTACGGAGGATCCTTGACTCACAGATGTAGCACTCATCTTTCTGACTCCATCTTCACATCTTTCCATTACCAGTGAGCAGCTCACCATCAAGTCAATTCTGATGCATGGTGACCCATGAGTGTCAGAGTTGAACTGTGCTCCATAGGGTTTTTAGTGACTTTCTTGCAAGCTGCCTCTGGGTGAACTGCTCCTCTTTAGGACAGCAGCAATGAGAATCAGCCCTTTGCATGTCTCTTACAAAGACATCAGTCATTGGTTTCAGGGCCTACGCTGATCCAATATGATCGTATCTGAATGAATGTGAAGACTTTATTTCCAAATACGGTCATGTTCTAGGGTTCTTTTGGACGTGACTCTTGGGGTGACACTGCACACACAGTATAGGCCCCTCAGGAGCCTTCTATTCAGAAACTTTCTGGACTTTGAATGTCCCCAGGAGTAAGACTGAACTAGTGTGTTCTTAGTTCCCCGGCTTCAGTCTGATCCTCTGGACACAGACTACCCACTTTTTGAGCTGTGTCTTCCTCCATCTTTCTATCTGCTGGTCCATTCTCTCCTTTTTGATGTCCTTCCTGTCTGTTCTCTACCACCCATTTAAGTATCATCTGTGTTCCCATCCTGTCCTCCTCATGTGCCCTCACCTTGCCATTGACCTCCATGTCGTCTCTTCTGTTTCTTCTTCACCCCTTGCTGATCTGCCTCTTCTTTCTGCTCCTCCCCATCTCTTGGGATTTTCCTGCAATGGCTTCAGAATCCAGAAGGAACCAGCTGTGGAATCATGGTGCACACAAAAAATGGACCATATCTGGGAGCAGTTTAGCCCCAAGTCTCCTGGTCAGTCTGCTCCTGTCCCAGCTTCCTCTCGACTTGGCGGCTTGGTCAGGGGCAGGTTGCAGGTGGTGTGGGGATCAGCCAGGAGGCTGGAGAAGCTGATGTCTTGGGAGAAATAGAGATATTTGAGTGTGGGGTGTCTGAAAGCTTAAACTGGAAGAGTCCAAAGATACCACTGAGCCCAGTCTTCCCAGGGGAAGGAAGTGATTTGCCCAAGAGCACTAGGCTAGGATTTGGACCAGTTTCCCTGCCTCCCTGGAGGCTAAAGGGCCGATGTGTTGGATGTGTCTGCAGATGAGGTGTTCATCCTGCAGTGGAGCCAAGCGCAAAGCTAAGCAGCCACGGAGGTGCCAGGTGTGTTCCGGCTCTGGCAGGAAGAGGTATGAGAGGCATCCCCAGCACTCACGGGGAGTCATATCCCTTTTACCTGCTTCCTTTCTCATTCATCCACCCCGATCTGTCTCCTTGGTCACTGGGGTGCCCCTCATCACCTCAGTCAATGTGGCCATGGAAACGGGATGAGCTGACCATCCAGGCCAAGGTCACAGGCTAGTCTGTAGAAGGTGTGGGGAAAGGGTGACCCTAGAAAGGAAATTGAAAGAACTCAACAGCGGATGAGACCAGCTCTACGGGGCAGGATTTGGGGGAAGCTGGGAACCCCGAGGACCCTGTGCCTTGTATCTGAGCTGCACTGACAGTCTGTGGCTCTCAGGTGTAGCACGTGCTCTGGCAGGGGGAATAAGACCTGTGCCACCTGCAAAGGGGAGAAGAAGCTAGTGCACTTCATCCAGCTCGTCATCATGTGGTACGTGGGCTGTGCATGCGGCAGGACTGGGCTTTGAGAGAAACTCCCCTTGGTTTGGGGCAATGCTGGGACCTGCTGGGAGACAGGGGTTCACAGAGACTTAGAGAGGACAGAACCCCTTGGTATGGGCTGTACCCCCAAGGAAGAGGTCACTTGGGTATTGGGATGCAGCCATTCAACAACAGAGCCTTCCCACCTGGGAATGGGGTCACTCATTCTCCCAGATTCCTAGGTCAATCACGATTCCCACGTGCCAGGCACGTTGGGGATGAAATGAGGTAATAGCACTGAGCTGTTAGGAACCTCTACCAGAGCTCCCTATTTTACAGATGTGAATGCTGAGGCTCAGGGAGGCTAAGGAAATGCCCCCTAGATCTTGCCAATAAGGTCAGGCCTGCTGGATACCAAACCCTCCCCTCTGCTTCCAGGAAGAATAGCCTGTTTGAGTTTGTGTCTGAGCATCAGCTGAACTGTCCTGGGGAACTGCTTGCTAAGGCCAAAGGAGAAAACCTCTTCAAGGATGAAAACACAATGGTGAGGAAGCCGGGGTGGGGCTAGGTCTTCTGGAATTCTGAGTGGCTGGAATGAGGAATGTAGGAATGTAGGAGGGAGGCTGCTGGGATTCACTGGTGGCTGGTCAGTGTTCACTCTGGAGTTTCACATGACTGCTCAGCCCTCCCCACTCTCTCTGCCTCTCTTCCTCCTTCCTCGCCCTCCCTCCCTTGCTCTTGTCCTCTTGCCCCACTTTCCCCCCTCCCTCCTTCCTTCCTTCCCTCCCTTCCTTCCTTCCTTCTTCTCATTCTACAAATACTGAGACCCTTCTATGTGCCAGGCACTGTTCTAGGCAGCGGAGCTTCCACAGAACATACAACATGGTGCCCTCATAGAACTTATACTCTGGTGAGATGGGGAGGAAGAGTGTAAATGTTTTACTGCCATGTCAGATGGTGGTATGAATACTGCAGCAAGGGATGAGGGAAGGAAGGGATCAGGGTGTTGTTTCTGCTGTGCTCAGGGTGCTGGGTCGAGACTTGAACACAGTGTGTGTATGTGTGTGTGTGTGTGTGTGTATAGGGGGGCAGGGGCCCTAAACTATATGGGTGTGTAGGAATGAGGGCATCCCAGCTGAAGGCTTTGAGGTGGTAGATGGTGCTGAGGAACAGCAGGGGGCAGTGTAGAGCAATGAGTTGAGACATGAGAGGCCCAGGTTAGGTAGGATCCTATAGGCCACCAGTTACCCTCAACTCATGGCACCCCTTTGTGTCAAAGCAGAACTGTGCTCCATAGGGCTTTCATTGAGTGATTTGCGGAAGGTAGATTGCCAGGTCTTTTTTCCAAGGCACCTTGCAGTGAACTCGAACCTCCAACTTTTTAAGACCAGTTGCACCCCCCAGGAGCTCCTTTTATTGGTCAAGGCCAACAAACTCCAATCTACTACCTTCTATTGGGAATAAAGTTTTCTTAGGAAACAGACACACTCATTTGTTTACCAACATGGCTGTTTGTATATTTCAAGCAGAGTTGAGTAGTTGTAATAGGAACCGTATGGCCCACACACCTAAAATATTTACTGTAGTTTTTGCAAAAATTGTGCCCACACAACACACAGGAAACGTGAAATTAAGTAAAACTGCTCTGCAGGGAAGTCGTAGTTTGCTCATTTTCTTTAATCTCCTGCTCATGTGCATAAAAATAGTCCCCAAATGTTACTTTTGATCAGTTATGTTTCAAGTAAAGATTCATAAAAGCAATAAAATACAAACAACATCATGTTCTTTTAGTTGCAGGTCTAGGGTTATTTCTTACTAATTGTTCAATGCTCCGTACATTCATACGCTAGTTTCAACAAGATGTCCCACTGCTCCCTTTATGAGAATGACAATGATGTTTTTTATCAGGAAGTTGCAAAAGTTAAATTTTGTATATCACTTTTGATCTACCAGTAAATACTTTAAGCTAACATACCAGTAAATACTTTTAGCTAACGTTTCAAGAAAGGATAAGCACTGGGCCACACGGTCAGTTCGAACCACAATATCAGTAATTTAAACCCACCAGCCACTCCTCAGAAACTCTATACAGGTTTGCTATGAGTTGGAACAGACTTAACAGCATTTAACAACAACTCAATGGCATCTGGTAGCATAGTGGTTACAAATCTGGCTATGAGCCGCAAGGTCAGTGGTTCGAAACTACCAGCTGTTCCGTGGGAGAAAGATGAGGCTTTCTGCTCCCGTAAAGATTTACAGCCTTGGAAACCCTGTGGAGGGTCACTATGAGTCAGAACTGACTCTACGGCACATAACAAAAGCAACAACAATGGCATCTAACAACAAAAACATTAACACCTTACGTGAAGTTTCCAAGTAATCAGAAGTAGAAATTAAAGTCAGCAATATGTAAAAAAAAAAAAAAAAAAGGCATATTTTTGCTTATGAAAATAATGCACGTATGTGTGGAGGGAGGCTGCTTGGTTGGTTAAAAAAAAAAAATGTATAATGTGAACGTTATTTGGGAAAGAATAGTAAGGTATTACTTGGCTCTTTACAGAAGTTTGCCGACCCATGCTGTAGACCTTGACAGGAAATTTGGCTGTTTTAGGGCCATCTGAGCAGCTTCTTTGTACCTTTTCCTCTGAGAAGCAGAGGCCCCTGCCTCATTTCCTTGCCCAATAACTCCTGCTTCCTAAAGATTCCCCTCAGTCTGCAGCCCTCAGGAAGCCCTGCCTGCCTCATCCTCGGGGCCTGCCTGGACCGCTGGCGGCTCTGTGAGCTGACTCTGGTCTGGGCTGAGCTCTGGAAGGCTGTGTGGTCAGGTGATCCACTCCCTAACTTCAGTGACTAGGGCAAGACCAATTCCAGTCTTAGAGGCAGAATTAGGAGTCACGGGGGGAGTCCAACGCTACCTCCAATACCTGGTAGGATTTCAAACTTGGTGGGCTTGGATTTGGGGACAACGAGGGCTGGCTAGATGTCCTCACACTTGCATGTCATGTACGCTGACTTCGAGCTTCTTGGCCTTATTAATGGTTTGTTTTGTATCTGTTCACAAGATGGCATGCGTTGTTGTTGCTAAGTGCTGTTGAGTAGGTTCAGACTCATAGTGACCCCGTATAGGGTTTCTGAGGAGTGGCTGGTGATCTTGAGCCTCCGATCACAGTTCTACCTGACCTTGCAGTCCTATCTAGAAGGCGTTCATTTGAATGAGAAGTGACCCTAAGTTTCTTCCATCTGGACTTGTACAGATTCCATAGAACCCTGTGGACAGCAGCCATCCTGCCTTGTTCATGGCTTCATTTGACACGATGCCTAGTGACCAGTAGACGCTTAGGCGTACAGTGGGTGTGCAGAAGGGTTTGCTAGGTAAATGAATGGGTGGCAGATGAAGGACTACACTCCCTGTCTATAGTTTTGATTGGAATCCCAACAGCTTTAACGTGGGTCATTAAGGGACCATAAAGGTCAGGTGAGTATGAGACTATCAAGCCTTTCTGTCCTTGGGCCTCAGTCTCCTGGTAGACTTTCAGGTGGGTGGTCCAACCCTAGCAGCCTCCGGTGCTTCAGTGCTGACACTCAGGGGTCCCCTGGGGCACTTGTCTCTCCCCAGGTGTACCCCCTCGTGGACTTCCCCCTTCAGGAGATCTCTCTGGCCTCACAGAGGGGCATCGCCGAGCACAGTGCCACGCTGGCCTCCCGTGCCCGCATTCTGCAGCAGGTGAGGGCTGGAGGGATGGTGGGGCAGGGTTCCTGGGACATCTGACCTTCCTGGGATTGGGTCAGGCGGAGGGTTCCAAGGCACTCTCTGTGTGAAGTTAAAAGGCAGGCATGGGGGCTGTTCTGTTGCCTGGCCTGGATGAGGAGGCTCATTCCTGAGAAGGTAGGGCTGACAGGTGAGGAAGAGTCAGGTAGGAGAAACATGGAGGTGAGAGTTTGGATTGGAATATAGGAAGTATTCAGGACTGACCTAAGGCCAGTGTGGCTGGAGGGCAGAGAACAATGCAGTGGAAACAGTGGAGGCCACAGGGACAGGGGTGGGTCTGGGGTGGGCCTGACAGGGTTTGGATCTTTATTCTGAAAGTAGTTGGAAGCTATTGAAGTGTTTAAGATGAGAATGTGGCATAGTGATTCTAAACCCCTGGTACTCAGTCTGGAAAAGGGACAAGCTTGAGATCTCAGGGTCACAGGCAGGGCTAAAACCCGGGATCCTGCCTCTCAGGCTAAGGGAAAGGTGGGCTTGCTCTGGTTGCTGTGTTCTCCTGACCACTAGGTGGCGCTGGTGTCCCAACACTTTCCCAATCCCATTTCTGAGCTCCCCAATGGTGCTCCTGGGGCCTCAGGGGCCTGAAGATGGGAGCCTTCAAAAAGCTCAGTGAGGGGTCTGTTCCAGGCTCAAAAACTTGTTTAGTCCCAGGTTGTTTTCTGTGTAAAGGAGGTCATTACACCAGCAGCAGTGGGTTGTATAAGAAAGATTCATTACTTCCAGGCTCTGGTATTGTTGTTGTTGTTAGATGCCATCGAATCAATACCGACCCATAGTGACCTTATGCACAACAGAACGAAACACTGCCCATCCTGGGCCAGCCTCACAATTGTTGCCACAATTGAGTCCATTGATGCTGCCACTTGGCCAATCCATCTCTTTGGGGGTCTTCCTCTTTTTCTTTGACCCTCCACCTTACCAAACATGGTATCCTTCTCCAGCGACTGGTCCCTCCTGACAATATGAGTAAGTATGAGAGACGAAGTTTGGCCATCTTGGCCTCCAAGGAGCACTCTGGCTGCACTTCTTCCAACACAGATCTGTTGGTTCTATGGGCAGCCCATGGCACTTTCAAATGTGACCCTCAAAATGTCCCTCTTCTTTGAGTCCCTATGAAATGAGCATTACCCCTTCTCTCTCTACACCCCTCCCCTGTTTGTAGGAGCAAAAAAGCTGCGTGTAATTTACATGAATAACGACCATCTTAACCCCCAAACCCCAAATCCCATCGTCATGAAGTTGATTCCAGTGTGTAGTGACCCTCTAGGACAGCTTAGAATCTTGGTGTGGATGGGCCCTAGACTACAAGTTTGGTTTGAATCTGAGGTCTGCGGTTCAAGCTCACCAGATGCTCCCTGGAAATCTTATACATTCCACATGACTCATAAAAGTCGGCACCTAACAACAGAGTCCAAGTGCTCCGTTGGGCTTTCCGAGGCTATAAGTCTTTACTGAGGTAGCCAGCCTCATCCTTCTACTTGGGTTGAACCGCTTACCTGGTGGCTAGCAGCCCATAACTTAATCTCCAATGTCAGTGACCATTTTAGAGCCTTAAGATCACAGAGTTCAGGCATTGCAAACTCAAAGGCCAGGTGTAGCATGGGTGGGGGAACCCTTCCTCCCAAAGGCCAACCACCACTCCGCTTCACGTAGCACAGGCTGGAGTTTCCAAACTTTTTGAATCCAGATTTTTACACTAAGTGTTCCAGGTTTTCAATATTGCCAATACCAACAACAGATATGCTCAAAGCACTGTATGGGGTGACAGGCCTGCTTTGTTATGAGGGCCCCCCCATTGGTATTCCTCATCTAGTCCCAGATCATGACTTTCCTGATCAATTTTGGAGGCCCAGAAAGGGTGAGTGATTTGCCCAAGGTGACACAGCTTCTCATTGCAAGACATCAAAGGTAGAATTCAAGTTTCCTGACCCTCTGTCAGATGTCATTCACTACATGCAAGCATTCACTACATGCAAGGGACACAACCGATTCCTTGAAAGCCAGTGTAGGATAGGTTCAGGCTTTCAGGAACATCACCAACCAGGAGTGGATACCAGGCCAAGGTTAGGAGTCCCTGGATAGTGCAAATAGTTCAGCACTTCACTGCTTACCAAAACGTTGGCAGTTTGAACCAACCCCCAGGCACCTTGGAAGAAAGACCTGGCAATCTACTTTGGAAAAATCAGCCACTAGATAGAAATGCTATGGAGCATAGTTCGACTCTGACACACCTGGAGTTTTCATGAGGCAGTGTCAACTTGCTGGCAACTAAGTTGGTTAGCAAGCATGTCTTTAGAATTCCCTGGGTGGTACAAATGGCAACATGCTCAGCTACTGTGTTGAAGAGTGTAGGGGCTTTGACACAGAGCTTAACAAACACAAACCCAACTACAGCTGTTGAGTTGATTCTGACACTTGGTGGGCCTTGTACTGTAGCGTAGATCTGCTCCCCTGGATTTTCTCGGCTGTCATCTTGACTTTCTTCTGCCACACTGCTGGGTAGGTTCAAATAGTCAACCTTTATGTTAACAGTAGAACACATATTAGTTTACACCACCCGGGGATCTTTTGCTAACTGTAAGTCCCCAAGAAATTACTAGGAGTCACATTCCTATGTCAACTGCATGGTGCAGTTGCCAATAACAAAACAACACAAAAAGCAAATGAGATGGTATTGCCTCAGCGTTAGGCAAATGCTCCCTGCCTGGTGGTCCTGTGATAGTCCTTCAGGGCCCCATGAGGTAGGAAAGGCATAGACTAACTGCTCAGGGAGGGGGACTGATGGAAGTGAGGTAGCTTCCCGTCTCCTGTGGGGGCATTTAGGAAGCAGATAGAGGGGAGAGGATTGGAGCAGTAAACAGGGTACAGCTGTGGTGAGGAATTGGAATTTGGACTAGTTGATCTTCCAAACTGGAATACCCAAATGTCTTAATGTCTTAGTCTGAGTTCTCTAACGGGGCAAAACTATTCGGCTGCTCAGTGGAAGATTTGGCAGCTCTAAACCACCCAGCTCCTCCTGGACTCTGTAAAGAGTATGGCCTGGAAAAACCCTATAGGGAATGCTGCTCTGCTACATGGGGGTGAACGTATTATGAGCTGGAACAGATTCAGAACAATATATAAGCTAAGAAGTAAATGCACAAGTTGTGTTGTTGTTAAGTGCCAAGTTGGTGTCGACTCATAGCGACCCTCTATAAGATTTCTGAGGAATGGCTGGTGAATTTGAACCTTGCGCTTCAAACCGACCTCGTGGTCCAGAACATTATCCCATATGCCAAGAGGTCTTAAAAAAGTTTGTCAAAATTTTTCCACATATTTTTGAAGCCCTTTCATGTGTGCATACATACATACACATATGTGTGTATATATACATTCACACATTCACACACATGCACACATGTAATTGTTATTGTGTGCCATTGAGTCGTTTCTAACTCATAGAGACCTTGCATAAGGTTTCCAAGCAGTGGCTGCTGGGTTTGAACCACCAAACTTGAGGTTACCAGTCCAGTGCGTCTTTATCCTACAGCACCACCTTAGGACTCCAGCCACTTCTCAGGAACCCTATATGAGGTCACTATGAGTAGGAATGTACTTGATGGTACACACACATACACACACACAGGGGAACTTCAAAAAGTTCATGGAAAAACTCCCAACATTTAAGTTCTCTCTCTCTCTCTCTCTCTCTGTGTGTGTGTGTGTGTGTGTGTGTGTACGGTGCTATAGGATAAGCCCTGGTCCACAAAGTCAGTTTGAACCAATAGCTCGGTGATTCAAACTCACCGGCAGTTCCTTAGAAACCCTTTACAGGGGTGCTATGAGTCAGGACTGACTTGCCGGCACTTAACAGCAACAAAAATATTTTTGTTGCTGTTTTTAAAGTCAGTTCTGATAT